CTTTAGCAAACATAGTAACCTAGAAGTTACTGTTTATAATTTAACAATTAAAATTTCTGAAAATGTTAAATTGCTAGGAATAAATCTCAACAACAAACTTTCCTTCGAAGAGCATGTGAACTTTTTATGCAAATATGTCAGCAGAAAAGTAAACGCACTTCCAAGAATCGCATCATATATGTCTTTTAATCAACGTAAACTTATGCATTTATAACTTCAAACTTCTCATACTGCCCACTTATATGAATATTTCACAGCAAAAACTAAATAAGCGCATAAATCAAATTCAAGAGAGAGCTTTAAAATTTATTTACAGAGACTTGCAATCTTCACTTGAAACACTCTTACTAAACAGCGGTAAGTAAAAATACAAATTTCGCTAGTATCTATCCACCTAACACAAATCATTCAAGTATGTTTGAAGAACGTTGCGAACCTTCAAGCACTTTCTTTGAACGTTCATAGAACATTCTTGAACATTTGCAACGTTTGTTGAACGTTCTTGAACGTTTTATGTTAGCTGGGTATGAACGAAATTTTTAAGTTTCTTGAGTAAAATCTGAGAAATGATTTAAGAAACTAAATAAAGAGATAAAAAATGATGACTATTTTTAAAACTTTAACATACTTTTACTTTTTTTTAAGACACCACATGATATTCTTTTGAACAATTTCTTTGATAATACTTGGGACGCAAATTTATAATTGTATACTTATTTATTTTACGGATTGTATACTTATTTCATCACATGCTGAAACTTTGAAAAACTACAAAAAGAGTATATATTTTTGATTGCAAGGTAAATTAGAGTTCAAACGGACAGTTATCTTTTTCTTAAGTGTTAAAAAAATACTCATTTTTAGATCTGAATGTAAACCATTGCAGTTTTACAAAGGTTCTTAAAGCCTTGCGTCAGGAATCACTACAATAGCCTACATTAGGACCCAAAAACCAACATTGAACTCAATTTGGATGAAACAAGATTGATTAAAAGATTAAACTGTAGATAAAAAGTGTGATTTGTAGTTTTAAAGATACCGATATTTAAATTCATATTTAGAAAGTAAAAGCGGTTTTGCCTCATTAAAGCTGTTTTTTAATAAGTTTTGCTAAGGTAGTATAATCAAATAAAGAATGAATTATTATATATCGTTTAAAAGCTAACAAAAAAAAAGCATGTTACAAAATATAAGAAAATTGAAACCTGTATATTCTAATAAATCCTAAGAATTTGGAGAATAAGACCTACATCATGTATACAAGGCCTCTAGGAAAGACAATGTTTTTGATGTATTTGCACGCTCAATGAACACATAAGATCCAATTATAATTTAACTTTGGGTATAAGATTCAAATATAAAACATGTATTTTCATTGGAAGTTTTAGATCTTTTAATACTAAAAAACGTTGGCGTAGACAAAAGAAGTGACAAAATGATAATAACACATCAGTTATGTTTATCTAATGTGTTATCCGATGGTAACACATCAGATAAAAACAACAATTAAGTTGAAACTTCAATATAAAAGTAAAAGTTAATAATGATTAAAATAAAAAAGTTGGTAGCACATAAAATGAGGACAACAAAATCAATTTAATGAAGAATTTAATATAGAAGCAGAAGTTAATAATGATTAGAGAAAAAAAAATGATAACTAAACAAATAAACTTCACTGAAAAATACAAAAAAGCCTGTGACACTATCAAAAATTCTCTGTAATTTTTTTTTTTAAAAAACTATTTAATTGACCTTTTAAAAAAACTTACGGAAGGAAAGGGGGAAGGGTAAGTGACCACCACCAAAGTGTTTTTAAGAATCTTTTTTTTTTTTTGACAATCAGTATTTATCATTAATTTTTAATTTTAGATTCAATTTTTTTAAACTATTGTTATTTTTGATGAATTTTGTGCTTCTCATTTCATCTTCCTCTTTGGAAAAAATCACAACATAGTAATAATAGTGCTTATACTAATGTTACTTCTCATCGGAGTTACAACATCTTAATAACGTTAATATTCATCAGAACTCTAAATTTTTTTTTTATATAAGGTTTTGTCTATAATTCTACAAGATAAATTATCATAGTACCTTAATAAAACTTTACTTGAGGGTGAAAACTATCTAATAGCTAAAGGAAATGGGCATCCTGTAACGCGAAACATAACGTAACGCATGACCTTTCTTGCACTTATTGCGCTAATTTCATTATCTATAGATCTCAAATTAAATATTGGTATAAAATTTACTTATGTATTTCTTAATCAAGGTATGTGATCAAAATAACGGTTGATAAAGCCTTTCGACTAGTTAGGTTTTGAAGTGACCCATGAGGTTTAATCTGTTCAACGACAAGTTCTTGAAATTTTCAAATTTTTGAATAGTCAAATATATGACTTTGATCATTTAGTGTTATATTAGTTTTTTTTAATTTTGATTTTTATAATTAAATAAAATTTTAAATAATAACTCAGGTTAACTAAAAAATTTTCTTTTGCGAGCAAAAGATGTTTTTGTACAGCATTTCTCAATTCGATATTCAAATATGCAAATCATTTTTTACCACCACGTCAAGTTTTCAAGATATTTGGGTTTTAATCTTTAGCATTTGTGATAAATTTCCAAATATTGCCACAAAAAAAAATTATTCAAAAGTATGTCAACCTGGGTTTCAAAAGAAGCGTATTTTCATAGAGATTTTAGAAATCATAAATATTGTTACTTAAAACTTATTAACAAAAACATAATAAAAAAAAATTATTATGAATCTTGAACAACTTTAACAAAATGTTTCTTAGCAATAATAAAAAGTATTAATTTTACTAAAAGCATACATTATTTTTAATGTTTTTATGAAAATAGGCTTCTTTTGAGACCAGGTTGAAACACTTTTGAATAATGTTTTTTTCACACTATTAGGTTTTATCCCAAATGCTAAAGATTTGAACTCAAACATCTTGACAACTTGATGTGATGGTGAAAAATGGGTTGCATATTTTGAAATCAATATAAGAAATGCTATACAAAACATTATTTGCTCGGCACCAGAATTTTTTGTTGCCCTGTGTAACTGAATTTTTTTTTTTTAAGCAAAACAAAATAATTTTTTAAATAATTATTTTCCAATTAAATAAAAGTATATACTTATAAATATTTTGTCTATTAATTTGAGTGTATACCATCAGTGCCGGTGTCACAGGAAATTATGCTGCTAGGAAATTTTGCGGCTGCGGCATAATTTCCTAGGAAAATCTGCTGCTCAGCTGCATTATATCCTAGGAAAAATAACCGCTCGCAGGAAAATTTGCTGCCGAAAAAAGCAAATCAATTAGAGCCAATGTTTCCTAAAAATTGTTCATTTTTTTACCCAAACAAACAGGTTAAATTAGATGATCATACTATAAAGTTGAAATTAAAATTTACTTACAATAAGTAAAGTATTTTTCATAGTTTATATCCATTTCATCTTAATAAAATCACCTTTTTAAATCACTTTACTTTTTAAGTAAGCTACATAATAAAAACCTTAGACTTAATGAAAGTAATCCTCCTTAACCCTTGGAATAAATATACCAACATAAGCAAAAAGAAAAAATTTCAATTGATAATTATACTTTTATTAGCATTAACTAAAAATATAAATTAATTAGTTTTGCAAGTTATTTTATATATTTAATTATGTAAATATTTCTAGCTTTTAATGAACTTTTTTAAAGTATCTTGTTGCTACACTATATAATAGGCTGACTTGAATAATTAAAATAAAACTGTAAGACAAAAATAATATATTTTTTAATAAAATTTTACAAAAAACGTTTATGACAGTTTGCATATTTCGCAATTCCACTCCTGCACTGAATTGTCTTCTTTATAATGGACACATTTAATATGGAACCATTTCAAGCATTTGCAGCAAGCAACCATAGAATCATAAGTGCAAGGCATTAAGCAGATGCAATGCAGTTAAACATTTACAGCTGAGGAATTGTTACGCGTAATATTCAATTTACTTCGTTTATTGAGTAATGGAAAGGGTTTAAACTGTCCAGCATAAAACATTTTTTCAAGATGCTGTCTCATAAACTTTTGATTATATGATAAATTTTCTGGTTGTTGGCCCAAAGCCAAGTGGACAGCGTTAGCTATAGCAAATAATCCACAATCCAAACTTCCAGTCTGTTGTTGGACACTTTTAACGTTTACAACAATACTTGGTGGAAATTCACAATCATAATCGGCAAAATTCTTGTAACATCTAGCTAACTGATTAATTAGATGTGAATCTAATTTGCTATACATGCTATCATAAAGTGAAATCGATCCATTTATAGAACATGAAGTGACCCAATGAAAATTAATAAAATGAGAATTAATAAACTTTTCCTCAGAATTACTTTGGACTGTTTCAACAATATTATTTGGAACCATATTTTCAGATTTTGGGTAATAAATCTTTAAACGAGTCATATTGTATACTTGTTTTAATTTCTTATTACAATCATTTATATTACATAAACGGAAAGTATTCTTTTTCAAAATTAGGCAAATTTTGTATGGGCCAGTCCAATTTGGCTCCATCTTTGACCCTTTTCTGGTAAGTTTTTTACTATTTTTTAATAACACTTGAGTGCCAACTTTAAATAACTGGTTTTTTGAACAATGTTTGGCATCATATGTTTATTTTTGGCGTTCCTGAGCTTTTTCAATATTTTGTAGTGCATTTTTTCGCATTCCAATTAAATTTTCTAATAAACTTTCTCTATTTTTTAAACTGTCGTCTATTGTAGGTTTATTTTCAGAATTATTTTTTATAGATTTCATTTGTAAATCAACAGGAAGCCTAGCTTGTCTCCCGTAAACTAGATAAAATGGGGTTTGTTTAGTAGAGTCTTGAACAGAGACACGATATGAAAACAAAATGCTTTCAATGTATAAATCCCACGTGTTTTGCTTTTCATCAACATATTTCAAAAGTTGACGCTGAAGAGTTTGATTGAACCTTTCATCTTCACCGTTGCTCTGTGGGTGGTAGGCACTTGTAACATTGCACTTTGTGCCCATCATTTTATTTAATTCATGGTTTACCTAAACAAATAAAAAAATATTAATAATATAAGAAAATAGACCCATTATAAAATGGCCTGTAAAAAATGCTCGTATAGGGTTTGTATTAAATAATAAGCAATTATAACATAACTCAATAAATAAAAATTAGTTATTAAAAGAATTAAGTTTAGCAAGTTTTAGCATAAAACATTTTTGTTGCGCAAAATATTGGCAAAGTTTACAAAAAATTTTTCTATATAAGCATTGCAGATGAGGCTGATTAACTGTTGTTTTTTTAACTCTCATTTTGTTTATCAATTTAAATGAACAAGTTCTAAAGTTGTAAAAATTCTGACTTATTCTTTATTCACTCTTCACATCCAATTATGATATATCAACTTATCAAAATTTAAAACCATGAAAGTTATACAAAAAATAGAGCTTTTTCCAAAAAAGTAATGAAAACTAAAAATTAACAAAAAAAAAAAAAAAAAGACAACTAAATAAACAAAAATCCAACACAGTACCTCATTAACAAACTCTCTTCCTTGATCACTTATCTGAACTTCACAACAACCATGTCTCGTAAAGCATGTATACAAGAACTCTGCTGCACTTGTAGCTGTTTTATTAGATAAGGAAGCAGCTTCAGGCCACTTGGAAAATAAACAGGTTGCTGTTATGATGTATTTGTTTCCTTTATCTGTTAAAGGAAGAGGTCCAATTAAATTAATTTAAAATAAAGATTAAAACTGTACTCCAAACTTCATCTTTAACTTTAATAGGATGTAGTTCAGCTGAGTGTTTTTCAAATGCTCTAAAAAGTATATTATGAAAGAAATAATAGAATTTATGCATATTTTAAGGTTAGTTACAAATTATAATTTTAGTTAAGTAAGTATTTATCAATTTATATTATTTGAAAATTTTTTTTAAATTATGTTTAATTTTTGTTATTACTTAGGTAATACTTTTGTTATTACTTAGATAATATTTTTCTTAGATAATACATTTTTTTACAAGTATGTTTAGATAATATATTATCTCTAAGTTATTATTAATAATACCTATAAGGATTATTAATAATACCTGTAGTTTTATTAATTACAATTATAATTGTTGTTATTGTTTTTAGTAATTATTAAATAATAATTTTTTAAACTTAATTTTTTTAGTATATAAAAAGTAAGTTATTTAACAAACATACCTGTTTGCTCTTTGACATTTATCACAATATTTACAAAAACTCCTCACATCATTTACCATCCCTTTCCAGTAGTACCTCTCTGAGATTTTTCTAATGTTTTATCTCGACCAAAGTGACCACCACCAAGAATTGCAGAATGACAGCCTTCGAGAATCATAGTTTTTTGACTCGTTAGAACAACTAGCAGATCCATGTTTCTTTTTTTATCGTAGTAAAAAAGTAGGCCATCTTTTACCAAATATCTTTTGGACTTCCTTCTTAACCCATCTTTGTTAATCTTATCGATGCTTTGAGGGTATATTCCTCTGACAATTAAATCAACAAGATTGTTATATTCTTCAACGTCCATATTTATCAAGAAAGGTAAAGAGATGTAAAGCGGCAAATTTTCCTGCGAGCGGCAATTTTTCCTAGGATATAATGCAGCTGAGCAGCAGATTTTCCAAGGAAATTAGGCCGCAGCCGCGAAATTTCCTAGCAGCAAAATTTGCTGTGACATCGGATCAAAAGGGGAGGGGGGGAAGCTATAGCCTTGGGCCCCGCAAATTTAGGGGTCCCCAAAAATTTTAGAGTATCTATTTTTTTTTTTTTTTCTTTTAGTCATTTTTAAGCTCTGGCCCATAAAAAGGCTTCCAAAGACAAAAATAGCCCCGGGTCCCAAAAAGTCTTAATCCGCCACTGTATACCATAGTGTAATGCGCAAAAGAATTCTAAAAGATGTGATCAAGGATCAAACCCAGTTGTAATTGGTGCTTTAGTTTGGTTACGGACCAGCCAGTTAAGCTTCTTAGTGCATGCCCGCGAAATTGTATTGATAAAGCAACGGCGACATTATTTGTTCTTTTAGACTCATGCAATTTTGATTTCTTGCGCTTTGCTCGTTTTACTTAATGTGTTTGACGTGATCCAACAAACTGTTTATCAAATTGAGTTATTTTACTGATATATATAGGTATCATTCTAGTATTTATTCACAGTATTTATTCTAGAGTTTATACCACGTTTGAAAAGATATTTGAATATTAAACAACATAGCATTTTTTTTATATAATTATTAATTTGATGCGATGTTGATTATTATTTGAAATTTTATCATTACGTTATTACATTTTGTTTATTTGTTAATTTAGTTAATACAAAAAACATTCTTCGTAGAGAATTCGTTCGTTGCAAATATAAAGATAAGTAATTCTCTTAATTGATTTATTTTCAAGATATTTGTTAAGAAGTATATAACATTAGTATTTTTTTTTGATATATTATATTAAGTTAAGGGATTTTAAGTTAAGAAATATTGGTAATTTGTAGTCAATGTATTTTTTCTTAAGGTCTTATATTCCTTAAACTTATAATGGACCACGATTAAAAAGATATTTGAATATAAAACAGCTAAGTGTTTGTTGTTGTTTTTATTAATTAACAATATTTAGCGACTGCTAATTATTTATTTGAGATTGTATGATTTTTATTACATTTCGATTATTTTTTGATTTAGTTGATAAGGCATTCTTCGTAGAGAATTTCTTCGTTGCAAAGACAATCAGGATTTAAAGATAAGTGGTTTTAATATTTGGTTTTTTTTAGAGATAATTGTTACAAGATATACATCTTTTCAAGAGTTTTTATGCTAAAATTTAATAAGTGTTATGCTGTATAATAAGGGATTTAAAATTAAAGTATTTAAATTTAAGTTACAAAAGATTAAGATTAAAAATTGTTAAATAAAGGTTAGGCAAGATTTGCGATACCCTTTTGCGAAACTTCTTAAATATAGGTTTAGTCACTAAATCTTTTGCTGCCATTTTCAAATTTACTTTTTAAAAACGTTTTTTTAGAATGCGCTGATCGTTTACTGATCAATTTTTACAAGCAGTTAAACATTTTATTACAAGTCTTAAAAAACATTCAAAAATTAATTACCGTTTTGAGAATACTTTAAACTTAAGGATTCCGTTTTAATTAAGAAATTAGATTTTTGATAAGTCAGTCTTTACGACTAAAAGTGAAGTGAGTGCAATAAATGTTTATTTAAAAAAAAGTATTTGAATAGTTTGTGATTTATTTCAAGATAACAATCAAAATAGAAATTATTCTGAACTTATTAATTTAAGAGAAACTGCAAATAATAGGGTCTTGGAGGATTAAAACTTTAGATGATAAAAGTTAATTTCTAGGCAGATAAGCTACAAATTAAAGATAATTTAGCCAATGACTTTACATAAAGCATTAAGCATGAGAGTTCTAAGGTAAACAGTTATTTAATTAAATACTCCAAAAAGTCTTATTAAAACACTAGTTTAATATCTACAGTTTAAAGTTAATAAAATAATTAGACTTCCTATATTAAAAACTAAAGCATTTGGACTTTAACCATAATTAATAAAGCCATTATTAAAACCGTTTGATGGCAATTGGTAAGCCTTAATTTTAATAAAAATTTAAAATAGCATATTAAGTTTAATGAAAAACATCGCGTAAAAGATTTTAAGATCTCCTACTATCTTTTTTTAACTAAATTTTAATTAAGCATAATATATTTATAGACGATCCCTTATTTAAGAATTTGGTGCGTGAACAGGCTCGTTTGACAATTTGAGGTCTGACACTGCCAAATTTTATTTCCATTTTAATTCAACATACTAAAACACCGATTTTCAAATAAACGGTTGACAATTTTTTATATAAAAACACTTTTCTTCTGATTCATTAAGTAAGTTTTATTCCAGTATTCCCATAAGAACTTAAAGAAAATTGATAATTATACGCGAGTTAATTTGCCTATTTGTGTATTTTCCGTGAATGAATACAAACCGCATCAGCGCATTATATTAAAAAATATTAGGGCTAGAAAACAAGTTTTAAGTAATAAAAAGTCTTGTTTTTATTGGTGGGTAATTCAGTTGTCATCGCATTTCAATAATAAGTGCTCTTCAAATTAAGATGTTTTAAATTGTTTTTACATTAAAAAAGGAGCTAAAACAGGTTTTTAATAAAACGAAAAATAATCATAAAGACGACAAATTGACTTCAGTTCAAGAAAATCATTTTTTTGTTTTTCTAATTCTTTTCTTGAACCAACTAAAAACGTTTTTTTACAAAAGCAATGAGCCGCTGCTTAAAGTGAGGAGCATTTAAAATACGCTTATTGTCGACTACATTTTGGCAACTGTTTTTGTAGTTAAGCTTCATTACTCCTGAATCATTTGCTTAATTTAAAACGTATTGAAAATAAGAAAATTAATATTAAAACATTTTTACACGGTAGCATGTCTGAGATCTTAAATAAGGCAAGAATTTTTATTAAAGGTATTTACGGTTATTTTATAAATATTTAATGTTTTGAAAAAGATAAATGTGTTCTACTTTAAGTAAATATTTTTATAAAGCTTATAATAATTATTAACTGAAGGGTTTTAAGTTGCCCGATGGGTATTAGTTATGAAGGGTTTTAAGTTAACCAATATTATTAATTATAAAGAAAATTTATCAGTTGATACTTTAATAGTAGCTAATTTTTATTAGAAATTTATGGAAAATTAAATTATTAGAGTTCGCAATTTTTTTCGAAAAAGTAATAAATTTAACGGTACCATACAGTTTTAGATGGTAACTATAATTTATGTAAATCTAGATTTTTGGCATTGAAGAGATTATTCACAGATGATTAATACAGGATTAATTTTCTTACAATAATATTAATAAAGATCATTTATATAAGGGCGTAATTGAGGAAGTTTCTAGTTTTGAAAGTAACTTTAGTTCACTATTTATCTCACCTTCTATTTATTCGAGAAAATAAATCTTCAAAAATGCGCACAATTTTGATGCAGGTTTATATACATTTGGTTCTTCGCTAAATATATGCTTATTATATGAACCTTCACACTAATACGTTTTCGCGCGAAGCAAAGTTGTATTCATTACCGATATAGAGAAAGTATTTTTGAACATTGCATTAGGTTCGATAATGATATATAGTTAATGATTTAGGCGCTTAAGAAGTAGCAATGATATATAAGGGTATTGCAAATTTTGTCTATTTACATCCAAATCAAGAGTTTTTTCATTTTTGCCTAATTTTATTTTGTTAATAATATTAACAATATTTATACAATAATAATATTTATTAATATTATATAATATTAATAGATATTTTGTTAGGCTTTTTCCAAAATTAACTTATATTCTTCTAGAAACATATATAGATCCTTATATTTAATGAGCCTATAAAATTGGACTCCTTGCAAATTTCAAAGTTTGAGTTTATTATGAAGCTCTCTCAACCTCAACCTAAAAAGAGTTTATAATAAAGTAATAATTGAGTTTATAATGAAGCTCTCAACCTCATGAAAAGCTGAATAACAAAGTTATCATATTAGTAATATTTATATATATACACACCATAAAGTTACTATTCAATATAGACACATCCAATAAGAAAATTATTAAATATAAATATAAAAGTTTGTTTGTCTGACTCAACAATATATTTAATTTTTTATATTTGTTTGTTACCCAAATGTAGTGATATTTTTTATTAAAAAAGTTAATAAAAGCTGAAGAGCTTCTAAAACCACAAAATTTTAAAAATTTTATTTAATGAATTTTAAAAATTAATTCAACAAAGCCTCGTATATTGCAACAATATGGTATAACTTTGACTTATTTTGGGTAAATCCAGTTGACTTTATTTTGTGTAAATCCATGATGATAAAAATACCTTTCATATACAATACATAATTCCTGTAAGTTATTTAGTCAAAAAAAGATTAGCTTTAGCTAGTCTTAATATACCAGTTAAAGGCCCTTTCTCTAAATAAATATATTTTTTTAACGTTGTTTTGAGAAAATTTTTTAAAACTTTAATTAATTCTTCTGATTTTTCTTTTGGTAGAAAAAATTAGGAATAACTTATTGCAGCATCCATACTCCTCGATTAGAACAAAAATATAATTTTTAGCAAAACGTTTGTATAAGAATGAGCATAATTAAGGGTTAGGATCAGGGTTAAGGGCAACCATATGTCACATTACTCTAAAAACTTTCATGAAACAAATACAGATTCAAAATATAAGGTATGTATGTTGATAAACCTCATACCATTTCTCGTAATGCTCCAAAGGCTTTTACATACTTTAAAATTCTAAG